GCTTCCAGCCTCACAGCAACCCACGACCGACAGCAGTGGCCATCAGCGTGAGCGAGTGTTCTAGATTCACATCGTTTGTGTAGTCAGTGAGACGGCTTTACAGGAAGGAACCCTAAAGCAAGAACAATTCCGAACCTCTCACAGTTGAAGGAACCCTCAGACCTCATCCAGGCCAGGTGCAGTGTAAGGAGCGGTCCCTCCTAAGGCCTGAATGCTAATAAAGACGACCAGACTCTCCCGGGGCCTCAGTCTCGGACCTGTCAAATGGGAATCTCGGAGGTTGAGCTGCTCCGCACACCCACGCAGGCTGGAGTGCACTCCATGGCAGTGAACGTGGCTCTCTCTCTCTCTGGCTTTTATTACATCTCGTCACCATCTGAAGGCAACCATCACGTTTGCCCCAGATCTTCATTGCAAATCAGTAGAAACAGCTAGTCAGTAACTGGAGTAATGGCTTTTGGGGAACACGGAAGGGTTAAGAACAGTGAGTACCGGCAGGAAGAAAATGTTTTAGAACTGATTGTCGTGATGACGGTGTAACGCTTTTTAAGATGACTGAACCATTGAAGTGTATGATACGTGATTTCTATGTCCATAAAAGGATTTTTGTAAATGGCTAAGCCTGTGGGCCTCTGGTCGATTCCAACTCAGAGTGACCCCATGTATGTCAACGTGGAACTGTACTTTCGAGGGCTTTAAAGGCTAGGCTTTCAGGAGCCGATGGCCAGCCCTTTCTTCTGAGGAGCCTCGGGGTGGGCTCTGACCTGCAGTCATTCAGTTAGCAGCCCGTGTGCTCAGTGTCTGTACCACCCAGGGCTGCCTACCCAGAAGTGGCGAAGCGCCCGCCGATGAAAGCAGATGGCAGTAAGCAACATGCTTCCTGCTAGAGTTTAGGGAGAGGCGCATGCCAGAGCCCCCGGAGAGCCCTTTCCACCCTGGTGGTATAGTGTCTATGCTTTGGACTGCCAACGAATGATTCGAAACCCCCAGTCATTCCACGGGAGAAAACCAATGTTTTCTATCCCCATAAAGAGTTAGCCTGGGAAGCCGACAGGGACCGTTCTACCTTGTCCTATAGGGTTGCATGAGTCCGAATCAATTCGTGGGCAGTGAGTGAGTGAGTTCACCTTTCACAGTGACGGCTGAGGTTATGCAAACATGCCACCAGAGGAGAAGGAAACACACACCTGGGTGTCGAGGCTCTCAAGACACCCTTAGGAACTTGCAAAGCCTTCTGCTTCAGGGAGAGGAATCACTGAGATGCGGTGGTGGAAGGGATGGAAGCAGCAACAGTGCTCGACAGAAGCCCTCTGAGTGTTGCCAATGGACAAAGCAGCCGTGACGGACCCTAGTATGTCTCGGATCATCTTAGTGAAGAGGGAGAAGCACATACCAGAGCCCCTGGAAACCCAGGGTCCACCGGCTGGAGATGCCATCTCAGCTATTGCAAGCTGCCTCTTATCCAGGGACCAGTAACTCCAAAAAACCCAAACTCACTGCGATCCTGTAGATTCTGACTCACAGGGAGCCGGCAGAACAGAGCAGAACTGCTTTTGTGGGTTTCTGAGATCCTAACTCTTTACAGCTTCCAAAACTGTGTCCTTGCTCCCTCACCCTGGCTCTGACTCTAGCCCTCCCGTCAACATTGCCTGGGTATGGGGAGGGGGTTCACCGTGACGGAGGGTGGACCTTTCACCGTACACAGAATCCGCCCCCATGGCTCGCACAACCAAGTTGGCTCGAAAAGTGCTGATTTGAGTGGGAGAAGCCCAGCCAGCATGCTCCTGAGAACCACGGATGGTGAGCCTTCAGCTCTCGTGCATTCCTGGAAGGGACATCATCTTGGTAAAGTAGGAGGGCAACGACCAGAGAGGAAAATGAGACGGATGACGACGCAGTCACTGTGACGCTGGGCACAAGCACAACAATCGTGCGGCTGGCGCAGGCTGGCGCAGGGGCGGACAGTGCTTTGTTTGGTGGAGCGCAGGGTCACGGTGAATTGGAACCGGCCTGAAGGCACCTAACAGTGTGAGCAGGATCTGAGGGAGCCTGGCAGGAAACCAAAGGTGGAGGAAGAACCTTCAGATTCTGGGAGGCAGGACGAGTGTGGGAGCAAAGAGCTGAGGGGGGAGAGGACGCCTGAAGAGTGAGTGCAGGCTGGGCTCAGGGGAGCAGAGAGAGAGAGAGTGGGGGTGAGCGAGGGCACAGGGTGATGGGGGCCAGCAAGGCCTGAATGAGCAATGGAGACACAGGAGCTCCAAGGGAAGAGTCTGCAGCCTCGGAAAAAGACCTAAGTTCTTCTGTGGTCAGTCAAGAGGCACAAGGAAAGGCGAGGGGGAGGGAAGAGAAAGAAGGACAGGGAGGGAGGGAGGGGAGGGGAGGGGAGGGGAGAGAGAGATAGGAAAGGGAGAGGGAAAAGGAAACAGAAGCCGGGAAGGAGATAGGGAGGAAAGGGAAAAGGAAGGGCAATCAAGAAAGGGAGAGATTCTCATGTTCATTCACCCACTTAATTAAATACACAAAGAATCTTTGGAGTAGAAATCATGACACCAGACACTTGACAATTCAAACATTCACTGGGGTCACGACTTGGTTCAAAGCCAGGGCACCTGGGCTCTCTGAGTCTCCCCTTGCTCACCGATAAAACCTGCCCTCCAAAAAGTCGCCAACGTTGGTCATGTGTATTTTACTGCCTGATTGTGTAGTGTTGACAGCTGACATTTAAGCCCGTGGCTGGCACCGGCTACCCTGTGCAGGAGGTGCCTCAAATCCATCTTGACATAAAGTCAACCTCAACGGAGTTGATTCTGATCACTGAGTGCCATGTCAAAAGCTTTGGTCTCAAGGAAGGTGTGTCTGAAAGTGGGCTCCTCCCACCCTCCAGGGAGCAGCAGCCAGGCATTTGTCTGGGTGTGCACTGGGGGACTAAGGGCCACATGGTCTTGAATAAAACCCACACCAACGTGGTCACACATCCCCAAACCAATCCTGTCATTTTGGTTGTGTACTATAGCGTCTATATCCCAAACATGGTCCCTTCCCCAACTCTGAAGTCCTGCTTGGACAGTGATGAATTCATCTGCCGCCAAGCATGATTTGGTGAATTTATTTTGTTTGCTTGGCCTCTATAGTTAGAGAAATGGCTATGACTCTTTGGAACACCAAAAATCTGTGGGCTCCAGCTGATGGTCTACTTGGCTAGGACGTCTTGTCTTTTTCCTGGCATTAGACTGCTAACTGTAGGGTCAGCTGTTCTAACCCCCCTGGGGAAGGATGAGGCTGAGCCTGTAAAGAGTCACAAAGCTTCCGAGACCCTACATAGATTTGCTGTGAGCAGGAATCAACTTGATGGCGGTCCACCTTTGTCCTAAGATTTGATGAAGTGGTCTCTGAGTAAAAAGATATTTGAATCAGGGGATGTTGTTTTCCTTAATACCCTCTGCTTGATCTCTAGGTCCTAATACCCGTTACCATGGCTGCACAGAACACATACAAAAAAAGGGCAAGTAAAGGGTTTATTAAGGAAGTGAACAAGTTGCAGTGCCAGGGAGAAGTGCTCAGGATAGTTGTTTATCAGGGCATGCGACTGTCATTTCAGGTCTGCTAATCAATACCTAAAGTGGCATACCACTCTTCTATAAGACTGAATTCAAAAGCAGTCAGCTCAAACTTGGTAGACCAGCAAACCCAACTTCCCAATTAAGTGCCCAGAGGCACCCTACTCTGCAAACCAGTCTGCTGCACAAAAGCACTTGGCTTTCCCTGCTCCAGAGGTTGAGAAGTCCATCGCTTGGCTCCATTCTCTGGCTCCCCGTTCTGCTGCTGCTCCTCTGATGTCAGAGCTGTCTTCTGGATCCAGGAGTTCCCTGTGCAGAGGTTCAGTCCAGAGCTGGGCTCCTGGGCTCCAGAGGAGAAATTGGGGTAGCTGTTGAGTCAGGCTAGATAGGAGACCCTGTGTGGTACAGAGGGGCAATATGCTTGCCTGCTAACTGGGAGGTTAGAGCTCCAACTTCACCCAGTGGTGCCACGGAAGAAAGACCTGATGCTGTGCGTCTGAAACCTCAGGCCATGAGAAAGCTTAGAGTATCATTCTACTCTGACACACAGGGGTGGTCATGGAGCAGAGTCAATGACCGAAACAGCCTAAGGATAGGCAGGTAGGCATGTAGAGGGATGTAATTAACATGGCAAGCAGGGAGGGGAGCAGTCCTATATTAGAAAGTTGAGTTGGGAACCCAAGGCAGCCCTGTCCCACCCTGACAAAGCACATCCAATTCCAAACTGCACTAACAGCCTATTTAGAACATGGTGTTCTAAGAGCAAGAACAGACTGGGGCCGAATCTTAGTTCTGGTTGCCTCTGACCATGTGATAGTGGACAAGTTGCTTCATCTGGCTGAGCCTTAACTTTCCCATCTGCAAAAGGGGCCAGTGCCTACTTCACAGGCTCCAAGGGAACTCAGTCTCATGAAGAGAGAGGGATTTTAGCTCCACATGGTAATGTATCTGCCATAGACCAGCCACATCTCCCCCGCCACAGACCACAGTGCCATCCTGCCTAATAGGCAATTGATTGATAATATTTGTGGTGGGCCCTTTTTTAACTCTTTTGAAAACCCTGCGAGTTGAGTAATAGCATCACTCCCATGTTTTAGGGAAGTACATCGAGGGTCGGAGAGGTTCAGTAACTCCCTCTAGATCTCCCAGCTGAAAGCCAAATAGAAGGTGCCACCCAATGAGCAGGAGCTTTCCCTTACTGCTTTGGGTGTTTCGGGTGGTGGCTCTGTCGCCCTTTGTGAATACTGAAGTTGGTTGGTTAGGAGGACGCTTCTATGTAGCTCAAGGACCTGCCATAGCACCTTGGGGAGGACTTAGTTCAGTGGCGGATTTCTGTCTGGTTTTCCTTTTGGCTTTGAAGACACGCGTTGTCCCAGCCAGGGTCAGCCTGGAGGAAGGAGCTGAGCACAGGCTGACCTCACCTTTGTGTCTGATTGTCCCCAGTCCTAGGTGCCAAGTCCTGAAGAGCCACGGCAATGGAAGCTCTCCCCAAGGACCTGGAGATCGACGAGCGCTCTCCAGAATCCAAGGACTTGCTCCCCAGCCAGACAGCCAGCTCTCTGTGCATCAGCTCCCGGAGTGAGTCTGTGTGGACCACCACCCCCAGGAGTAACTGGGAAATCTACCGCAAGCCCATCATCATCATGTCCGTGGGAGGGGCCATCTTGCTCTTTGGGGTGGTCATCACCTGCTTGGCCTACATCCTAGATCTGGGGGACAAGAGCAAGACCAGTCTCAAGATGGTAGGGCCAGCTTTCCTGTCCCTGGGCCTCATGATGCTGGTGTGCGGGCTGGTGTGGGTGCCCATTATCAAAAAGAAACAGAAGCAGAGGCAGAAGTCCGTTTTCTTCCAGAACCTCAAGTCCTTTTTCCTGAACCGCTAATGAGGGCCTCCTTCCCCGAGCTCACCATCACCAGGCCACCGGGACCCGGAGGAGCCGTCTGATAACCAACATCCAACGACCCCAGCTCCTCCTCGACAGGGTTTGCCATCAAACTGGTCTGTGCAGACCCTCTTTCTGCCACTGAGGGAGCGCGCATGAGCTTGGGGGTGCCCCAGCGATGCAGCCTGGGGTCTTTGCTGGGCGTGCCGCCCTCAGCCTCTCTGTTCTCACAGACGCTTCCTGCAGATCTTGGTAGTGGTCCTCTGTTTGTTTCCATGTGCTCAGCCCTGCTCATGCATCAGCATCCTCCGTCTCTCTCTTCCGAGTGCTACGCCTGCTAGGAAATCCCCTAGGGTGGGCTCGGCCCCGAGGAGAACACCTCATGTTCACGTGCCGGAGGAGAACAGCTGGACTCCACGTCATGTCCTTCTCGAACCAGAAGGGACCAGAAGAGGACCTTCAGAGAAGAGAGGCAGGAAGGCTGAGACTGGACTGGTTGATTGAGATGGAGGGTGAGATGCTGCATTTCAAGAGACCAGATAATTCACAAGTCAAGGAGCAAACATTCCAAGACTGGAACGTAAAGGGGGCCTTGGGACTGGCTCTGGGAGTCAGTTTGATTCCCAATCACTGATTATTTACATTGTGGACACCACTTTAGGCTAGAGGGTGTTCCAATTCCTCCCTGATCTCCTAATCCCTTCCCATTTGTTCCTCTGTCCCATGGACTTGACAAGTAGCCAACAGTGCATGTTGCCCTAACTTCCTCTTCCCCCTCCCCCATGTCTCTGCCTCCCAATGCCAGGGTAATGACTTGATGCAGCACCGCAGGGGAATTGTGTGCGATTCTTTCCCTGCTCATCTTCATCAAGAAACAAAACGGGAAGGATCAAATTCCACATTGGAATGGTCTGTAGGTTTCACTTTTGAAAATTCCCAACCTCTACTCTCCCGGCATGCACCCCCACCAACCAAGCACACGTACTTATTGGGTGTCCTGCCCCGGGCTGGGGTCTAGACAGAGGGGGTACCCACTCTCATCTGGCTTGCCAGAGTAGGAGATTGATCCAATCAAAGACAGCAATTAAAAAAATTATAGAATGGGCACAGAGACACATAACACAGGGAAAGAGAGAGGATCATTATTGAGGACCGACAAGCCACGAAGCACCAAGGATTGCTGACAGACCCCAGAAGCTGAAAAAGAGGTTCCCAGGAAGACTCAGAACAGCTGAGCCCCTGATTTGGGCTTTTAACCTCTAGTACTGTGAGAACATACTTTCTGTTCGTCAAAGCCATGCATTTATAGCAGTTGTCTTATAGCCACATTGGGTAACTAATGAGGGTGGGTGGGATTAATTTTTCTGCAGCTGTAGTAATAAAAGATCCAGAGCCTGGAAAAAAGAAAGCAAGCAAGCCTGGGTGGGGTATTGATGGGGAAATGTACGTGGTGATGGGGACACAGAGGAGACATCTAAGCCAAACTTGAAAGAGCTCAGAGAGGTTCTTGGAGCCATCTGTGCCCAGGAGAAAAAGAAAATAAGGTCAGAGTGAGCAAAGAGAGGGATGGAAAAGCATTGTGGGCCGCAGGAATGGAGTGTGCAAAAGCTCAGAGGAAAGAAAGCCCATCGCTGCCATTGAGGTGACTCCGTGAGGACAGCTGTGTGGTCCCCTGAGGTTCCCCAAGCTGTAAATCTTTACAGAAGCAGAACTGCCACCGCCTTTCTCCCTTGGGGAGGCTGGTGGGTTTGAACCATTGACCTTTGGGATAGCAGCCAAGCACTTCATCCAGTGTACCTCCAGGGCTTCTTCAGAGGAAAGAGTGGGTGAAAGCAAGGAACTGCACAGAGACCCCCCCACAGTTCTTTCTCTCCCTCTCCTGGCTTGCTTCCAAGTGCCTTACGTGCAGCTTCTCTGGGGGTCCACAGGGTGCCTCCTGGAGTCTGAGAAAGGCTGGAAGTGGGTTTCCCATGCCACTCCTGTCCTATCACCCCAAGGGCGCCCGTGAGGTGTGTGCCCAGTGCTTGGGGCTTCCCAAGGTGAGAAAGTAGTGCCTGTGAGAGATGAGTTGGGCAGCTGTGCACCAGGCCAGAGGGCCCAGGACAGGGCTTTTGATGATGAAGTGCATAGAATGATCCCCTTAGCTTAAGCTGATGCCTTTTGTCTCCTCGGCCTTCTGGTCTACCACGCAGGTCCCCAAGGCAGCCCTTCTCTGACAGGCCTCCACATTTCTCCATCCTTCAGAACAGTTCCACCCACAGCTCCAGACAGAAGCCAGTCTTGCTCCTTCTGCATTGTGCGAAAGCCCAGAAGGTGGCCTGTGAGGCAGGTACCTGTGCCACCTGAGACACCTCCCATCCCACCCACCCAAGGAGCCAGAGAGCTCCTCCAAGTGTGGGGCCTCGGTGGCCTTAGAGGCTCCCCCAGAATGGTCCTGAATCATCTCCCACTCTGTCCCACCTCAGTGGACCCTTATCTTCTTGTCCAACGACTCCCTGCCCCAAGGTGGGCCCAGGCCAATCACGGAGGTGGAGGTATTGCAAGCGCTTTGTCACTACTTCCAGTTTCAGTGCCTCCAGTGGCAAAGCTTGCAGCCCCTTCATTTCCCTTTCCTGCAGAGGCAAAGCTCAGAGCACCCTCACCGTCCTCCATGCCTCCTCACCTGGGCACAATCGGAGTGGCGTTATGGCTAGGTCCCAGGAATCCCTGCGTCTCATTCAATCGACCCCAAGAGGGCTGACGGTTTGGGCACACTTGTGAGAGGAGGCCCGTGGGAATAACTCTGCGCCACGTATGTCCTGGAATGTGGAGACAACTGCTCCTGTACACATCGTCCAAGTTCTGGATTCACCTTGCAGCCTCCAGCAGTCCCTGCCACAGCCACGGCTCCTGAAGCTAGTTCCTCCTCAGGGGAAACTGAGGAAGAGCCTATGAGAAAGGATGCAGAGCCTTGTGCTGGGAACACAGCAGGGTCCCCCTGACACAGGACCTCACAAAGTCCTCTGCCAATGCCCAGGGATCATGGTGGCCTGAGTTATGCATGAGTCACACTTCTGGAAAAGGCCAACACCTGCCAGGAGGGCTTTCCTGCCTGTGGACTGGAGGAGAGGACCAGCCTCCTCACGATATTACGCTCCCCCTAGCTCTTCGATTTGGGGGCGTTTGGCTGAATCTGAGGCCCGAAGGAATCTGTGCATGTTGACTTGTACCCTACTTCACGGTGACTGCTGTGTCGTCATTCCGTTGAATTGGGAACCCCCAGGTTTCATGTACTAATGCGTTCCTCCAAAATGTTTCTCCTGCCCCACGTGTCTTTGTCCGCCAAGCACTGCCTCAGAGACCAGGGACCGCGTGGCTTTCCTGCGTGGTTCTTCGACCCTCCTACGAGCTGGTAACCCTTACACTGAGATGTTCACGGGGGCAGGATGCAGGTGCAGATGTGGGAAGACCAGACCCAAGCAACCCTGACTCTTGCCCTTCTACAACCCCACAATCAAAATAAGAGATTTCCAGAGTCCACTAGTGGTCCAGAGTCAGGCAGGAAGATATTCCAGCCTGCTAATCCATGTCCCATGAACTAAGACGTAAGCTCAGAAAGGTTAGTAGGTCACGCCCCAGGACCTCCACCTTCTTTCTTACTTCTAAGCCCCGCTGTCCTTCCTCCTGCTGCAGCCTGGTCTGCTTCTGCAGGTCCTGATTCTCTTCCACTTGGCTCCCCAAAGACGCACAGGCTCCTGACTCTTCCTTACTCTACCCCTAAAAGAACGAAGCTGGAAAAAGCCCAAACCAGTTGCCATTAAGTTGCCCCCAACTCTTGACAACCTGCATACGGCCGAGTAGCACTGTGTTCCATAAGGGATTCCGCGGCTGGTTTTCCAGAAGTCCAGCCAGAAATCCATCACCGGGCCTTTCTACTAAAGTACCTCTGAGTGGACACGAACCTCCAACCTGAGTGGACATGAACCTCCAACCTTCAAGCGAGCAGCCGAGAGTGCTCACTGCTTGCACTGCCCAGGAACGGTCTGTATAGACTAGAGCAAGGCGTATACTACTCACTCAACTTGTCAAAGAGTCATGATGCCCAGCCCTTGCCCCCCATGGTCATCGCTCTCATTTTCTCCAGCCCTCGGAGATCAGATAGCCCTGAAAACTGAAACCCAGAACCCCAATGTGCCTGGGATTGAATGTGCACGAGACTTGCCTGAGGAGGTCCCCCATGGGGTCACCTGACAGCACCAAATGGGAGCCAGGGAGGCCTTGGGTAGAGGGAGAGGAAGTATGGAAGTAGGGAGTAGTTGAGGAGTGGGGAGGGGAGAGAATAGGTAAGAGGCATTCTGGGTAATGTCTGCCTAGGCAGGAGCTAATCCACACGTCTTGAGCACTTACTGGCCAGGAACTGATCAAAGCTCTCATTTAATCCTGATCAAAAACCCAATGGATATCATCACCCTCATTTTATAGGGGAGGTGAGTGAGGCCCAATGGACAAAAAGGTAGGAGGTAATGGAGTTGATCCTGAAGGGTAGGTGGTCTGGCTCTAGAACTCAGACCCATGATCCCCATTCCCTGTAGCCCTGTGGGCAGCAGGAGACATCAGATGTCACTATGGGGGTCTTAAGACCCCAAAACCAAACTCACTGCTTTTGAGTCAAATCCGACTCTTATCAATCGCATAGGACAGAGGAGACCTGCCCCTGTGGGTTTCCCAGACTGCCACTCTTCGTGAGGGTAGAAAGTTTCATATTTCTCCCTTGGAACACAAGTTGGAAATAGGGTGATGCCGGTATCAGCTAGACAGCAGAAAAAGAAAACCAAGCAGGGGAGTGGCCAGGAGGAGTAACCCAGCCCGGAAATGCCCAATACGCACCCAGGTCCCACAGCCATAAGTAGTAATCAGAGGTTTAAGCTCAAAGTTCCCTCTAGGACCATTGCTCTCATCCCCAGACTCCCATCCCACAGACAGCAAGCTGTACCCCAAATGGGTGCTCAGAGTTATCATGGAGACCTGCACACCCACCCACCGTTCTGTAGTCATGCTGTCACACAGGGTGCTCTCGGGACGTCTGTCCTTGGTCCCAGAGGACAGGCTCCACCTTCCACCAGTGGGAACATTTGGGACCTGTTTGAGTGACCTCCTTTTCTGTTTGCCTCTGCTCCCATGACTCTGTCTGTCTGTCTGTCTGCCAATCTTCCATCAACGATCACCCTGGGCAGCACATCTTCACATCAAGTCACATCGCAGGCCAAGTTCATAAGCCCCTCAACAGGTCAACGTCAACCCCCTCCCCCCACCCCCCATAGGGAGTGCTCAGTCAAGATCCCAGACAAGTTCTTCAGAGCAGAACACAGTCCACGTGTTCCAGCACAGAGACGGGCCATTTGCCCTGTCACCCCCTGCTCATCAAAAGAGCCTCCCTCATTCAAGACCAAAGAGGATTCCTGGAAGGTCTAGGGTCTGGGGCCTTCCGTGCACCAGGTGTTTTGTTTGTTTGTGAGACATGAGTTTTCCATTCATTGGGATGGCTATCCATGAGCAGATACAGGGTCATATGGTAAGCCTATATTAGGAGCTCTCCTGGCCCCATTAAGCAAGCTATTCAAGAGAAGACTCAGCACAAAAGCAAAAATCAGAAAATGACCCAGCTGGGCCCTTCCTCTATTGACCACCCAAAGCCTGTGCTTCTACCACCTGCTGGGAATGGCTGGGCCCCATCTGCAGCTTCCTGCCCTGCCTATCTGGGCCCAGGCCCTGGGGCCAAGCCCAGTGTCTTCAGTGGAGGCGCGTCTGGGTCTGAGGACCCATGCTTGCTTCCGCTACAGATCCCGG